CAACCCCGTAAAATAATATAGTTTGAGGAAAATATTCATACTTTGTACGTATAGGTCAAAATATCATTTGCTTGAGTAATCAAATAATTTTCATAACAATAAAATAAAGGGTACCAAAATAAGCTTTTGTTTCATATCACATGTACAATTTTGGAAAATAACACATATCCAAGTAGAAATCATTCATTTGGTTTTCTGTCAAACTCAAATATCTTTTAAGAAGTGGGCGAAACTCAAGATTCCTCGAGCCCAATGAGCCGTTGTTGTGTACGACTCATCCCGGAATTCCGGCTCCCACCGACCACCAATTGGAAATTGGACCTCTATCTTAAGTGCGCACAGCCTCTAAAAGGGATTACAAGCTCTTTGAGAAGTAAAAAGCCCAAGTAGCCCAAGTGAGACACTCGCTACTTCAGGAAATCATCATCTACTCCAGAGTGAATAGAAACTAGCTACTGCGACCACCAAAGGACTTTTAAGTCCTCAAAACAAACCGGGATGTCTACCGGGTTAATCATCAACACATTAAAATTCCACTAAAAGCAGTAGTAGCTCCTAACCACCCACACCTCGTGTTTCTCTCGAGATGTCAATCATCATTATGAAAACATAATTCATTTTTGGAAAATCATTTACATCTAAAGTCATCCAAAATATCTATTTAATAGATACGTCCACCAAATATTCATATTCATAAATACTCCGGAATTTCTTCTATATAAACTCTAAAGTCATACTAGGGATTAAATCCCAAAAATTCATCTTTAGTAATTCTCAAAATCTCAAAATAGTCTCAATGTTGGTACGTCCAAATATTTAGTAGCGAAAAAGTACGTAAGTCACATTTATCTAATATCACTTCAATAATACATGCATATACATAGTCAAAAATTCATAATTTACTCGCATATCACATCTTTTATCTTTTATAATATAAAGAAGCAAAGTCTGGGCAATAATTGGAGGGAAAAATCCCGCCCAAATTAGAGCCATAATAGGACATTAATGGTAATTAATTTGCATCAAGTAAGAGACATTCTTTGTAGAACACATGTAGTACCGTATATTACTACCAACCGATATATGTTATTGCCAAATTGATTTCTACTATAGATGGAATCTTTCTACTTATTTTCAAATTCTGGAGTAATAAATATGTAATATTCATAATTAAAGGCGACACCATAAATATGTGTATTAATTTATTATATATGGATTCTTGCAAGTTATTTCCTGAAATGTAATTCAGTTGGAGTACGTGTGGCTTATACTTTTATATGAAGTGTAATATTATTACTTTATTTATTTATTTCTTGATTTCTTAGGAAATACTTCATATAATTTACTTTTTCTACTTTAAAAAAGTTAAATACTTAAAATTATTTGATTGCTACCAGCCTACCACAAATGACGTAAAGTTCCCTCCTGATATAAAAATACAAACTCACTCAATTAATCGGTTTTTTTTCTTAATTAATATTACTAATAAAAAAAGTCATGGACAAAATCATTACTTATAACTATTAATAACTATAATTATGTTCAAATTTACATCGTAGTAATTACATGTAAGTTATTGTGATGTAACATTTGAACACAATTATATATAGTCACTAATAGTTACCTTATTTGAAAACATAATTGTAATATTATTTTTGTCTACCACATTTTAAATCTTTATCTTTATATAATACGGAGTACAAGGTAACAGAGTTGGTGTAATTGTTGGAGGGAAAATTGCCACAAAAAAACTACGGCAATATAAATTGATTTATTCTTATACCATAATGCCGCCACTACTGTAGTCTTAAATTGCTATATATGTAAAACACATTACTACTGTAGATTACTACCCACCAATGTACAAAAAAGAGAGAATAATTAGTAAAACTCATAGATAAAAAGGTGACTACATAGGAGCTGCTGGTATTTAGGGTACAATGTTATGTGTATCCACCCTTATCACCACTCATGTTTGTGAAAGTCTTTTTTGCCTCTGAGTTTGGATCACAGACAAAATATGTGTTATTTTTTCTGTGCAAATTTTGCACAACCAAAATATTTTCCGTGAACCTCACACACAAAAAAGCCCTTCACAAACTCATTGATAGGGATGCCCTAATGGCTATAGAGGAAATTAGAGCATGATATATAGATGGTTTATAATGGCTACCCACATACGCAATTCACCAATTGATTTCCTCTATTGTTTTCTATTTTTTCTTCTTTCTGCTTCTTTTTTTAAAAAGAAGAAACAAAATCAAAATCACTTTTTCAGAAACTGATCTCCCGCATCTTCCAAAAAATTACTTTTCGGGGTAGTTTGGAGTACCCAAAAGTACTTCTTCACTTTCGCCCAAACACTCGAATGTTTGTTTTTCTCTCTAAAGAAGCAAAAACAGTTTTATGAAGAAGATCCAAACACCTCTTACATTCAACACAACATTACACATGGTCTTGAATGCAAATCAAAAGTCTAGAGCGAGTAATTCCCAATCATTATTTTAAAATAATCATGATAATTAACAGTATAAATTCACATGGCTCTTTGCCAAAAAAAATCAAACGGTTTAAAGATCTTTTATTGCAGTGAAATTAACTGAATCGACTGAATTAGTTAAAATTTATGAAACTCTGGCTGAATCCCAAACATTGTGGGCAATTTGTATTTGAAATATATTTTATTAATAATAATAAAGAAATTATTGTATAAAAAAATAGCTAAGTGATCATGTACATAACTTCAACCAATTTAGCCAAACAGTAATTCTATTCTTATTTTGATTACTATACAGTTCATCGCATGAAAATTACGTTTTTGTACTAAAATTGACTGTTAAAATTGATTTAGTGAAATTAGGAGTTACCAAACATGCTTTATTATGTGAACGGGTGAACCAATACTATCAAATTTTGTCATTTTTTGTAACACATACAATAATACAAAACACGAATGAAATTATGTATTCTAAATTGAATAGTAGTATTGTACTCGGTGGGAAATTCAATCACAAATTATAAATTATAATGAATAAAATGAGATGAAAAAATATACGGTGGGCATACTAATGATTGTATTGAATATAATTATATTCCATTTGAATTATATACACTCTTATCTTTGTAGTGTTAGATATTTGACTATTGATAAAGTTACAACTTATCATTTATTTTAGGAACAAAGATAAAGTTACACTGATAAAGTTACACTCTTATCATTTTTTTAAGAACAAAGATAAAGTTACACCTTATCATTTATTTTAGGAAAAATCGCACTTTTAGTCCCAAAAATAGCAATCATATTGAAACGTCAGACCCGTTTTTCGGAGATTGTAAAATTCACCTTTCAATTGTCCGAATTGCTGTAAAGGTGGTCCTTCGAGGGGTGAAATGTACTATGTGAGCGAAAAGTACATTTCACCCCTTAAAGGACCATATTTACAGCAATTTGGACAATTAACAGGTGACATTTACAAACTCGGGTACACAGTTTTGACATTTCAATATGATGACTATTTCGTGACCTAAAAGTGTGATTTTCCCTTTATTTTCATTTTACTTACATTTTTACCAAGACCCAAAATTTCATTTTGCTACTATAATACGAAGTACTACGTATAACATAATCAAAGGCACAATATATCTCTAGGATCTTTTTTATCTGGCAATTCAGTGGACATTTACAAACTCAGGTACATGGCTTTGACATTTAAATATGATGACTATTTCGTGACCTAAAAGTGTGATTTTTCCTTTATTTTAATTTTACTTACATTTTTTTCCAAGACCCAAAATTTCATTTTGCTACTATAATACAGAGTATAACATAATCAAAGGCACAATATATCTCTATGCTCTTTTTTATCTGACAAATAAACACATTTATACCATCGTAATAAAACGTATTTTAAATAAGTTGTTTTTTCGATCTAGATACACCCGTGCATCGCACGGGTACTTCGTCTAGTAATCATATAATACGAGGAAAAACAATAATTTTGTTTGCAATAGTGCTTAATCATATAATACGAGGAAAAACATAATTTACCAATGATGAAGGTTCAGAAAATCAATATGATTTTGAGAAGCTTCTAAGAACTGCAGGGATTTCAGAGGAATGGAGAATAATCCGAGCTTACAAATATCCTCACTTTCGAAAAGAATGATGAAATCTGATTATATCCTGCACAAAAGTTTTATCCTGCAGATTTCACTGATCAAGACATTGTCTCACTTGAGTTTGAGTTGATTCACCACAAGCATGATATTGTTTCAACAACTCAAGGTTTGACACTTGTTGAGTTATGTCAACATTTGACGGAGTGGGAAATCTGAAATTTATGTTATGCTGGCGAGATTAATTCGTCTTGTTTTGACCCTACCTGTTTCCACGCACCGCTACTACGGAAAGAGCATTTTCAGCTATGAAGCATGTAAAGACGGCACTTCGTAACAAAATGGGAGATGACAGATTCATTGATGATCTACATTGAACGAGATTTTGCCAATAATATTGATGTAGATTCTATAATTGATGAATTTTATACTTTGAAGTCGCGTAGGGCACAACTTAAACGATTTTTTATGAATATTTAAAGTGTTAACCACTTGATTTATTATTATGTATCCCTATTATGTATGTGTATTTCAATTTTTCCCCAGCCCACCCCATTGTAACTTTCTGGATCTGCATGCCCCTGAACGCAGATAAACATATACACCTATATACAGAGTAGTAATTTCTAGCTAGCATCGTGGACATCTGATATGCGTTTGAGATGAGGTAGATTTTATGGTACCTATAAGGTACCATATACCTTAGTCCACATGGATCAATCAGAATGTTGCAGTTGAATTAATTATTTAAATCTAATTAAAAAAAACATAACGATTTGGACCGGCCAATATATCAAGTGGTACATGTAAACGACTTTTCATTAGAAATTAGAGTAATAGAAATTTCCCTAGAACCAAAACATACACAAGTTCACAAATAAGATCGACTACGTATATTTTATTTCCGAAAATAGGACATATTTAGTCCCAATAAAAGAATAAATGATTAAACACGAGATGAGAGAACTTGAAAGTTTACAACCAAGTATGATTCAAGAATTTCCTTTAATACAAGTATACAACCCCGCCACCATGGCGATCGAGGTAATAATAACACCACAAGCAACTCACATTGAGTTTGCATTATTTCAATCTTAATTTATTTAGACGTAGGGAGACATTCAATATTAAATAAGCGCATATATGATTTAGCTACTCTTTGGAGTTGGCGGTTTTGGAGCTGGCTTAGGTGCCGGCTTGGGTGATGGATGTGGTGGCAATAATGCAAGCCTCCGTCCAAGCTTTGGTGTTGGTGGTGGGAGCTTTGGTGCTGGTGGGGGTGTATGCAACGGTGCCCTTGGTGAGGGTGCAGGTCGATGTGGTGCCAATCTCATTGTATGAGTTGGCTTGGATGGTGCAGGCGCGGGAGCTTTCGATGCATGTGTGGGTTTGGATGGTGCGGGCGCGGGAGATTTTGGTGTATGTGTTGGCTTGCATGGTCCGGGTGCGGGAGCTTTTGATGCATGTGTTGGCTTTGGTGCGGGTGCAGGAGCTTTAGGTGTGTGCGTCGGCTTGGATGGAGCGGACGTGGGAGCTTTCGGCGCATGAGTTGGCTTGGATGGTGCGGGTGCGGGAGCTTTTGGTGTGAGTGTCGGCTTACAAGGTGCAGGTGCGGGAGCTTTCGATGCGTGTGTGGGCTTGGATGGTGCTGGCGCGGGAGCTTTAGGTGTATGTGTCGGCTTGGATGGTGCGGGCGCGGGAGCTTTTGAGGCATGAGTCGGCTTGGACGGTGCGGGCGCGGGAGCTTTGGATGCATGAGTCGGCTTGGATGGTGCGGGAGCAGGAGCTTTTGGTGTGTGTGTCGGCTTAGAAGGTGCGGGTGCGGGAGCTTTTGATGCATGTGTCAGCTTGGATGGTGCGGGTGCGGGAGCTTTTGATGCATGTGTCGGCTTAGAAGGTGCGGGTGCGGGAGCTTTTGATGCATGTGTCGGCTTGGATGGTGCGGGTGCGGGAGCTTTTGATGCATGTGTCGGCTTAGAAGGTGCGGGTGCAGGAGCTTTCGATGCATGTGTTGGCTTGGATGGTGCGGGGGCAGGAGCTTTTGATGCATGTGTCGGCTTGGATGGTGCGGGTGCGGGAGCTTTTGATGCATGTGTCGGCTTGGATGGTGCGGGTGCGGGAGCTTTTGATGCATGTGTCGGCTTGGATGGTGCGGGTGCGGGAGCTTTTGATGCATGTGTCGGCTTGGATGGTGCGGGTGCGGGAGCCTTTGATGCATGTGTTGGCTTGGATGGTGCGGGGGCAGGAGCTTTCGATGCATGTGTCGGCTTGGATGGCGCTGGCGCAGGAGGATGCGGCGACTTCGGTGGAGGCGCCATTGGCTTCAGTATAGATGATATAGCATCATCATCGTAGGACATATATTCAATTGAGGGATCCGCTGATGAAAGAGTAAAGATCAACAATGACACTAGAAAAGTTACACTAATGTGCTGCTTGGAAGGCCCCATGCTTGCTCAACACCTGATGATGTTATTCTTTCTAATTATGTGAGAATTGTCTCTTATTGTTTTTAGGATGTATATTGCATGCATGCAATGACGTTGTACATATGATTGCACTGGCTTCTTGTCATTTTATAGTAGTCATTGGTCCTAGTTTGGTGCTAATGAACATGACCGTGATCTACCTTTTGTGAAGGTTACCAAATCTCCGTTTCTCATGCACCAAAATTCAGGTTCTTTTTGCAACTTGCCTACCCTTTCCAGGAGTCTTTGTTTCCCCACCAAAACCTTTATGGTTATATACTCCATATTTAGCTAGGTCCATGAGTTCATTTACTTTTGTCTATTCGAATTGATTTCAATTTTTGTACATGCTCATAAGATAAAGGTGAATCCGTGAATGCTATAGTATATATTCATAAAAAGTGAGAGTACATTATCAATTACCCGCGCGATTTGATCTAATTACCCCGTGTAATGTACTAATGTAAACATCTTGAGGTAGCGTAAAATTAAATTTGTGAAAACATAATCCATATTTTCCCTTTATTGCTTAGCTGGTAATATTATCGATCAGGAGTAGTTTAAATCTCATTCCATCGATTTGTTTCTCATGGGCAATCATGTTAATTAAATTTTATGTGTTCGGTATTTCTGGGTTAATTATTCATTAATAAGTGATATTAATAATTAAATTTAAGTGATATTTATTAATAAGTGAGAGTATATAAGTATTTCATGTTTTTATGTCTTTTTTTTTAGTTTTTATGTTTGAAGAACGGACTTGTAATAGGCTAATAATTAATCCATGTTTCCAATTAGAGACAAAGTAACATATAATATGCATTAGCCTATTTTGTTTTGAATAGTTTATCTCTGGGCCGGGATTCCAGAAATGCAATACTACATATAGTATACGTATTCCGATGAATATAGAAATATGTATTCGTAGTCTTTGTATGATAATGTGAATATTGAAAATTTTAAATTTTAAAAGAGTAATCGATCTTGCTAGTTGAGTACTCTTATAACTTTTTTTTTATTTTTATCATGAGTACTCTTATAACTTCTGATAAATACGGAGTAATACGTAGTACGTAGTAATTGTATGAAAAGGGAAAATTTTGAATCCTCATTCTAATGGAAAAAACATATAATCCGTACTTAGTATTAGAAGTGTTTGGATCTCATTCTTAAAACTGCCTCTGCTCCTTAAGGGAGCAGAAGTAGAAGTTGGGTTGTTTGGTTGAAACTGTAGAAGTACTTCTAATGATCTAATTTACTCATAGAATTAGTTTTTGTAGAAGTTGAGGGAGACCAGCTTCTGAAAACTGATTTTGATTTTGTTTCGACTGTAAAAAAGAAATAGAAGCATAATCAGTTCCAAACACTTCTTAAACGATTTGATCATTTTAAGTTCCAACTCACATAATTAAGGGGGTAGGTTTAATGCACCAAACTCCCTCGCGATATAGAAATTCGATGCATTAATCATGCACAGAACCCCTTGTATGAATAAATTTAACGATTTGAAAATCATTTTACCTAATATTCTGATTGAATATACAAGTAAATATGTCAAAATCTCTAAATCATACAAAAATGTTAATCATTTTTCTTTTATTTGACAATTTAGTTTGTTCATAGAAGGGATTTTGCGCATAGTTAATTAAAACACAAGGAGGCTTGACGCATTTTTTAAATTACAGGGAGATAATGCGCCAAATTTGCATATCACGAGGGGGTTTGGTGCATTAAACCGCACATAAGGTGGAGTTTTATGCCAACAGTCACGCTTAAAATCATGAATTTGAGAGCCTTTTATTTTGGCAAATAATTTGGGAGACTGAACTAGAATTGAGGGTCTTAATTTTCATAAGATTTGACTATAATTAAGAACTAAAAAATTTTGATTCAAATGATGAGAATATATCACTAGTGCAAAAATTGCTTTTTACATCGGTCAAAAATGGTCTTCCACATCGGTTCTACTACCGATGTGGATTCAGCCCATGTGAAAAGTTTGTAATTTCTATATCGGTTGTTGACTAATGTGAAAACAATGTTTAACATCGGTTACTAAGTAAACCGATGTCAATAAGCAGACATAATACCGATTATTACACGTTCCACATCGTTTTTAACCGATGTGAAATAATTCCAAGTCAGTTATGTTATAATCGACGTAAAAGGTCTTATAAATAAGATCATTTACAACCGATTAGGAAATATCAACATCATTCTTCCTTTAGCCGATGTAAACTAAATTGACACCATAAATTCCTTTAGCAGCTTCCGAATAACCTTCACCCATTCTAATCAACAATTATGCAATAATACCAGACATTCTATACTCTTACAGGGATATAAAACATGAATAATTCAAATTCATCAGTCATCACTCTATAAAGGCAATAAGTAACAACATACATTCAATAAATTTATTAAATTAAATCATTCAAAGTAAGCTTATAAACTACAAGCTCAAATTTCGATGAGTCAATAAAACTACTCCTAAAAGAATGCTAAATACTATAAAGAAAAGTTTTCTTCATCTTGTGTCTTTGACAGAATCTGCAATTTCAACAAAATGATGCCCAGTAAGCTAAGTTCGCTTCTAATCTATCTCTTTGAGAGAGAATGGCTCCGAATAGACAAATCTCTGCAATTAATAAAATATTAGAATAAATTAAATCAGAGAATAAAATGAACTAAATGACAAATTGCAATATGAACTCATTATTGTGAAAGATGAAAAAAATGCAAAAATATACCAGTATAAGTTTTCGGATACATGAATTGTGGTATAATAATTTTCCCTTCTCGGCTGTCTCATTTTAGGTGATTGGACAACCACTATAAAAAAAAGTTGTAAATAAATAAAAGTACATACACGTGAGTTTAGAAGCCTTATTTTCTCTTATTTCAGCAACTTAACTTAACAAATTATAAATGTAAATCAACAACCAAGTATTCATATTATGGCACAAGCAAAACTAGAAGTGTTTACCTAGGTAGATTTTTAGCTGGTTAGACAAATAAACAAAATAGACAAAAAATAAAATCCCTAATGCTAAATGACACATTAGAGTGTTTACGTTGAAGTAACTAAATATTGTGTTTTGATTCAATTTTTGAAACTAGTGATTAAGAGTTCAGATCTTATATATTATCATTTCATGCTTCAAGTTACATCCCATATTCCTAATACGTGGGACACACAAACGCGGTGCAAGTACCTAAAGCAATAACGCAATCTTAAATTAAGTTTCTTTCTAACAAGTTTAACAATATGATATAAAATAAAAGAAACTTACAACATCCACACTTGCAATATAATAGCACTACGTAGATCTCTGCCCATAGATACTTCAGCCAGGGGCGGATGCAGCTTTATAGCAATGGGGGCACATGCCCCCAATAAATTTAGACTTTAGCTTAAACATTTCATGATTTTTATTAATATTCCCAATAGAAAAACTAGTGTGCCCCCAATAGAAAATCTAGTGTGCCCCCAATAATTTTTTATGTCCTCACTTACTTTCAAATTTATATTATACGGAGTACGTAGTTTATATAGCATTATAGTGTGTGTATTTGTTTAATTATAGACTAGCATTATTTGACCTTGTAATTTAAGATTAGTAAAAATGTTTTGGTACTCCTTTTTCTTTTTTATTTGTATTCTTTCTTTCACCTATATCTAGCTAATTTATTTAATCATTTTACTTTTTTGGAAATCGATTCTCCATTTGATATTATTTGTCTCTCATCTAAGCAAATTTTGATTTGAATGTTATCAAGCCGAGCATAGGAAAATATAGAGATAAATTAGTGAAAAGCGAAAATTTCTTTTAATATTTTATTCTAATTCTTTTCAGTTTATTCACTCCTTTTGTAGTTGTGTTTGAGAATATGTATAATTTGATTTAATCATGCTTAACATTAATTTGTTAAGGGAGATTTGCATTTTCAGTACCATAATTTTTAGTTGTGCTCGTTATTGGTCTCGTAACTTTACTCGAAAAATTCCACGTTCTAGCAATAATATACCAGAAAAGACATTACCCGGGTTCAAATTTCTATCGAAAAGTGTACTATTCGATGAAAAAATCCTCAATTTCCAAATAGTTATTAGTTACATGACCAAATCTGTTAGCGAGTAAAGTTAAAGCACTAATAACGAGCATATATGAAAGTTATGTGATTAAATTTGCAAACCTCTCATTGTTTAAAATAGAGTCACATTGAAGTTATATAAGATGGATTTCGTTATGCAATACATAACTTTTAATGTATAAGTGAATTCAAAACGTAGTTTATCAAAATTAAAATATTAGTAGATGACTCTATTTGCACTATAGTAGTACTACCTCCATCCTGGTGGACTTTCCCAAATGCAAAGTAGGTGAGAAATAAGAATAGTAAAAACTGTGTGGTTGAGATTTGTGCAGATGAGAAAGAAATGTGCCGAACCACAAATTATTATTTTTTTTTGCGAGGAGAACCACAAATTAATTGATTTAATAAGAAAGTGGCAAAGTTTTTGGGACAACCAAAAAGAGAAAGTTAGCAAAGTCCAATGGGACGGAGGGAGTATATTTTATCATGTTTATATCCACATGTATAAAAAGTGCCCCCAATAAAAGAATTTTCTGGATCCGCCCCTGACTTCAGCCGTTTCTCTAAAACCAACATGTCCAATTAAAACTTCCTGAATTCTTTTTAATTTGTTTAATTAATTAATGACTAAATCTTGTTAGTGGTCTAGAAGGGACAAGTAGGGTGAAAGAACTAAGTTTTGGTCTAACTACATAAAGAATAGTTACATTAAAGTTTTTAAAAATGCCACAAAGTGTTAATTTTTTGACAAAGAATTCTTACTTTCCTTTACTGCCCCATAAAGTGAGCATAAGATCTCATCTGCAAAAGCAAGGCATACTCTGCCCAGTTAAAATAAAAAGGCCGAAGTACACATTGACCACACTAAGTTCTTCTCTTGCAAAACGTGCAAAACGAAACTGTTAGTAACCCACAAAAGTGTAACCCTACCTCCTCTCACATGCTCTAAAGATCTTCACCTGGGTGCTACACAAGTATGCAGTAGCATATCAAATACGTAATACTTTTCCAACCAATTTAAGACTATGGGTTGGGTTGTGTATATAACATCTCCAGTGTCATTCCAGTATGATAAGAGCCACCCTGTGTTTCTAATATGTGATTCAACAGAGAGTGGTTGTTACCGGTTAATAACCTTTGTTTTACCTTTTGTGTGATCACATTGCTTCCCATTTTCTTAGTCTGGACAAGCAAACCAGCACTGTTCAAATACTAAGGAAACAAGAAGTTAAAGAAGTGCATATATTTAATTACATTAAAGCAATAAAAAAGGACAAAGAGAAAACAGAGTCTAATTATCTCAATGGAGTAAAATCTACCTATATCCAACAATAATGTATTCCAACTAGCAAAGAAAGATTGGATCTGATTTGAATCTTTCTGATCTGATCTAATCTGATATGATCTGAACTTTTCTGATCTGATCTGATTTGATCCGAATAAAATAAGAATAAGAAATAAGTAATAGTAATAAGACGAACATAACAGCCTTTTAACCATCATTCAAGCTTTAATTCATCTTTCTCATAGCTTCCTAGTATCTATTTTTGTTTCTATAAATAGAGAAGTACGTAAACAATTCTGATCTATCATCAAATATATCATATATTAGATCATCATAGTATAATAAAAAAGAGTTTGTGAATATCCTTGACAGATATATGTAAAGTATTTTTGAGAGTTTTTAGTTAGATTTTGTATGTCTCTTTTTTTTATTCTTGAAAGTAATGAAAGTATTTTTCTCATATTAGCTTGTTCCTGTTAATTCCAACACGCACTCGGTTAAATTAAGCACATAAGGTGAATCTTAATGTGCATAAAAACGTTAGATTAGAGGTAAATTCGTATAGTACAAATTGTACTTCATAAGCTAAGATTGAATAGCGAATACTCCAATTTAAGGTCGTATTTGCAGCTTCCCCAAAAGCACTCGGTTGAATAGATTTGTTTCATGATTTATTCGATATTAAGGTCGTATTTGCAGCTTCCCCAAAAGATCACGTACACACCAATTTGGTGGAATAGAAAACTGGTTAACTTGTTTGAAATGAAGCAAATCGATAAATGTGCAACGTAAGTAATTACATGGAGCATATGTATACACAATTATTGTGTGTACATATATGGCACGATCATAATAAAATTTGAATGTTTAATATGAGAATTGCTAGAATATCACTTTTAATTTTTTCCGCACTAACCTTCATGAAAAAATCACTGAATTATGTTATTGTCACCACATTTTTTTTTACCTCTTTCAAGATGCTAACAGTTATAATTAACTCTCTTTTTTCACATCAAGACTATATACTTACACTACAAAAAAACATCGAAATAGGCACAGACTTGGCACGGATTGGTCGAATTTGGCACGAATTGAAACTTATTTTTGGCATAGCGCCGTGTCAAATAGCTGGTGACGACAAAACGACATTGGCACGAATTCGGCATGAATTTAACGCATCCGTGTCAAATCCGTGCCAAATTAAAATTCTGTGCCAACTCCGTGTCAAAATGGTTGTTTTTTTGTAGTGTTAATGGGCATAAATGCGAGGGCATTATTCAAGTATTAATGGGAGCGCTTGTATTAGTCGTTCTTGAGGTGAGATCGCAAGCGTAGCCTGGAGGAAGGTACAACCCACACATGCCAATTAGCTCCAGCGCCACTGGCATGAAAATGGTGAGGTTCATCATCCTCATCGTCATCGTCGAGCACATGCACACCGCCGCTTCCATCCCGAGAAGCCCTCCGAGCATCGGGCAGCACTTGTTGATCGCCGGATCACCGAGGTGGATGTGAATCAGGCCTCCTAAAATATCCAAACACAACCCTATTTTCATTGTGTCAATGGGACAATACTTTGGCGGCGATGGCGGTGGTGGCGGCGATAGCGGCGACGGAGGTGGTGGTGAGTTCATCGGTGGTGGCGAAAGAGTCGGCGTCGGCATTGGAGGTTGTGGTTTCGGCTTTGGCGCTGTAGGCGGCTTTGCTGGTGGCGCAGCCGGCTTCGGTACCACCGGCGCTGGTGGACACGGCTTCGGATCTGGATGAGGTGGCACCGGCGCGGGTGGTTTTGAAGCCGGCGGCTTTGTGCGTAGCTCGGCCGGCTTTAGTGGGCCCAGCGGTCGTGGATGGAAGTACAAATTTGGGGATAAAAGGGGAGCAGCCAAGGTTACATTCAAAAGCATGGAAATGAGATAAGCGGAAGCTATTTTTAGTCGCTTTGAAGAGCCCATATATGCTTTGTTTTGAAACAAAACACGATACTAGAATCTCTTCGCAAGCAAGAAGGAAAGGTGTTTTTTTTCAAGTGACACAATTTTTGTGACTTTTTTGTTTATTACTTATCAGAACAATAAATACTTCAAAAGCATATTTATATGCATGGCTCCTCTGATCGATCACCACATAATTGTTGCCATGTAAGGGCAAAGACTGAAAGATCCATGTTTGGTGGATGTGAATTGAAGCTCCACGTTTGTATTTAAGGACAGTCAATGATCCGTAACTCTTGCCCCTTTTCCGTCCATTACAACTCCCGTACCCATTTGGAAAAAGGAGTACCGTACCTATCATTACCCATTACCTGTCATTCATTTGATTGGTCCAAATCATTACATCATTTTTAATTTAGCTTTAAATAATTCAACTGCAATCTTGTGATTGGTTCACGCGGACAAAGTTATGATACCTTATGGTACCATAGAATCTACCTTTTCCTTAGGGCATCCTCATTGGTAGGATTATTATGAGATTAAGTTGGTGACATGGCAGGTTTTTTAGAAAATTATCATTGAGTGACATAGATTATTTAATGGGATTATTTGCTACAATAATCCGGGATCAAAATCTGAATCCAGATTATTTTAAGATTATTTGAAAAGTATATGTAATAGAGATTAATGCAGGACAGAGGAAAAGTAGATTATTTGAAGATGATGATTGAGAGACGTAAACGAATTTTGAGATTATTTTAAAATTAATTGCATAACAATATTTAAATGGTAAGAATCATAGAAAAAATTGATTATTAGAGATCATGAATGGAGACGCTCTTATAGAGCTATACAAGTGTCTGAGTAATCCGAATTTGCACAATTTAATTTCTCAACACTCATTTTTTCTGGTATACATGAAGAGAAGTATGATTCTCAAGTGGGAATAATTCTTGAAGACATTAAATTTTTATTGGAAGAGGAAACAAGCTTTTCAGTTCAATAGTGTAGAAGATCAGCAAATCAAGCAGCTCATATTCTTGCAAAAGCCGCTATTTCTATGACTGATTGTGTCGTTAATTTTGATTCTACCTGATAATATTGTAAGCCAATTGGCAAACGATCTTTAAATATAAGTTTTGGCATTTACCCACAAAAAAAACACTCATTTATACACCGACTTAATTATATGTACATCAAGTTCCTCTTAACTGATTAATTTTACGCCCGACACTACTGATTAACTAAAGCGAGTGAAGAATTAAGAAAATATTGTTCCAAGGGCTGAACCTTTCACAAGGAGAAGATCTTAAAGTGTGAATGTGGACTATTTAGAGCCCGTTTGGTAGCACAAAAATCGGTTGTTTTGGCTGTTTCTGCTGAAATTTATGAAGTTCTGGCTGAAGTGGCTGTTTTGGTTGATTCTGCTCATTCTAGAAAAAAATATTTTAAAAATATATTTTATTAATAAAATAAAGAAAAAATTACATGTAAAAATAGCTAAAATGGTCATCTACAGTAACTTCAGCCAATACAGCCAGAAAAGTAACTCCAACCTTACTTTTTCTGCTTATTACCCAATTCAGCACGCGAAAGTAAAAATTACGTGTTTGGTGAAAAAGCTGGCTGATAAGCCTGATAAGCCGAAAAAAGGAGTCTCCAAACGGGCTCTTATTCCACTTGCAAGTAAAACATTGTTCATACGTCTTCCATGAGGAGTGATGCATTTCAAAAGTAAAGCTAATACGGAGTGCATGTTTTAGTTCTCACAATATGAATTTATATGTTAATTTTTACTCAAATACACACCATTCACCCTATTGTAAATGTAAAATATATAAAATCGTATTTTGGAAAACGTCGTTAGGCGAACCATCCCAATATTTCACTCCTATGAATACTGTTTATTGCCAACCAAAACGCTATGCCTATGTGACGCAGTGACGGACGGCATTGTATTGCTCAACATATCATACTCTCTCGTCTCATTAGACTTTAACAACTTTCCCTTCTTGGTTACCCAAAAAAACTTTGCCAATTTCTCATTAAAACAACTATTTTGTTGTTCTGCTCAATTCTCTCTCTTCTGCACAAACTTCAACCACACAATTTTTATTATGCTTATTTCTCACCTAATTTAAAGGGTGCAAAGTCCATTGGGACGGATGTAGTATCAATTTTACATTACTATTACAATAACAACATTACTTTTGTATATTTTTGTGAAAGTTTATTAATTTGTCCTATAGCATTTTTCATACAAGTACTATGTATAACATAGGATGATAAAGAATCAAACAGAGGAAATCACACCTTTAGTCATCACTCAAATAGTGCTCACATTGGAATGTAGTACGCATATTTTTAAGTGTGTAAATGTAACATATCAATTATTCGAATTATTGTAAATGTCACATCTCAAAAAACCATATTCACAATAATTTGAATAATTCAGGGATGACGTTTAAAAACTTGAAAACACGGACATTACGTTTCAATATGGGCACTCTTTAAGGGATTGAAAGTGCAATTTCCCAAAAAACAATCATCAAGTCAAAAGTCATCAACCTTGCATATAATACATTCATACGGAATACTAGGAATTAACAAAGTAACTGATCGACCAAATTAACAAACAGCTGCGTAACGTACGTACTAGAGGTGGTGCTTAATTAATTAAGCCGCTTATAGACTACCATACTATTATCATTAATAAAAGAAAAAAGAAAATCAAGATTTAATAGGTTGCTCGCCGCGAATACGGCGGGCAAGCTGGACGTCCTTGGGCATGATGGTGACGCGCTTAGCATGAATGGCGCAGAGATTGGTGTCTTCGAACAGCCCAACCAAGTACGCTTCGGCCGCCTCCTGGAGAGCCAGAACGGCGTGGCTTTGGAACCTTAAATCCGTCTTGAAGTCCTGTGCTATTTCCCGCACCAGCCTCTGGAACGGCAGTTTCCTCACCAGCAGCTCTGTACTCTTTTGATACTTTCGGATTTCACGGAGAGCAACTGTTCCTGGACGATAACGGTGCGGCTTCTTCACCCCACCGGTTGTTGGGACTTGCTTCCGGGCAGCCTGCAATCATATTCATATCAAACAAATTAAACAATACTTCGTATTAAACAAAAACATAATCTAGCAAATGTTTGTGTGCGGGCGACCAAAATTTTATTAATACCCTATTGTTTTTCTTGGTAAATGATACTCCCTCCGGTTTTATTTAATCTTCACACTTTGACTTCACACAAAATAAGGAAAGAAATTTGACTTTACTGTAGATCAGAGTACACTGTTAAGGCACTGTTTGACACTGTTTGGCACTGTAGAGACACTGTTTGGCACTGTTGAGACACTGTTTGGCACTGTTTGACATTGTTTTGATGTAGATTTCTTTGCCAAAAAAGGAAATAAGGAAGTGTGAAGTTTATTTTAGACCGTCCCAAAAAGGAAAGTGTGAAGTTTATTAAAAACCGGAGGGAGTATCAAATTTGAGATGAAGAAAAATCAAATTGGCAAACATTTTTGGATGGAGGGAGTAATAATGCAACCCGCCCAAGCCTTAACTTAGCTTGCCTGGTATTAGGGTTAAGAAATTGCCTTTTATTCGGATAAAAACACAGCCTCTTTTATGACGGTTCCAACACTGAAATTCTCTTATTCGCTATTTGTCAAATTTGTGTAACATCGTCCATATATATACTCATATTTAAGTATGAAAAAAAGTGTTTGTACATAAGTCTATTAACAAGTTATTTTGTATTTTTTGTTTGTAAACAGGCTTTTCCAGATAAAAATTTGTTCATGCACTTATGTATAGATGTGTTTTACTTACACGATAGTAAGATATAAGAAAAACATGATGATTCTATGATTCTCTAGGAATCAATCACCTTAGCAGTTAACACACACGCATCCAGGAATAAGTTAATCATAGATACCTTAATCACACTAAGACTCTTCCTGGGAGCTTTTCCGCCGGTAGACTTCCGGGCAGTTTGCTTTGTACGAGCCATTCTTCCGATTACCAAACGGCACTAAACTCAACTACGTACAAAAAGAAGCTAGATCAGTTATATGAAACTAATATATATTCAGGCATCATAGATATATAGTCATATGACTTTATATACCTAAAAACATATTACGAGTTAAAAAAGGAAACTTTCTATAAGAGATGAGTATAAAGTTACGTACCTTGAGAAGGTTTTGATAGAATGATGAGGAATGAGGATTTTGGATGAGCGGAATAGCGGATGTTGGGGTATTTATAGGGATGGATGGATGGGCCGTGTGGGGTTCAAATGAAATAAAATATGTGGTCGAAAGTTTAGCATTTAATTAATTTAAGGTTATATTCTTATTCTAAAAATAAATAAAGAGAAAATTAAGGGATTCCGAATTAAAATATAGTATAAAATATTTTAGGGCATTATTATTATGTGCTAGTGATAATTGTCATAGAAAACCATGATCCTTGTGCTCTACTTTATTGGATGGATTTAGTTGGATATGCGCTACGTGCCAACGTGTCTTAATATCATTTGACACAGACATAACCACGGATCCATGATCAATGATGATCAATATATAATGACTTAATTACATATGTGTTACACTATTCGTAATTTATTTATTTACTCCCTCCGGTTTTTAATAAACTTCACACTTTCCTTTTTGGGACGGTCTAAAATAAACTTCGCACTTCCTTATTTCCTTTTTTGGCAAAGAAATCTACATCAAAACAGTGTCAAACAGTGTCTCAACAGTGCCAAACAGTGTCTCAACAGTGCCAAACAGTGTCTCAACAGTGTACTCTACAGTAAAGTCAAATTTCTTTCCTTATTTTGTGTGAAGTGAAAGTGTGAAGTTCAATAAAAATGGGATGGAGTATTATTTATCTGTTTCTTTATTGGTAACGAACAATCAATATATATATATAAAAGAGGAACTTTTTAAGAGCATACGACGCGCCACATAATCATGCCATGTCATCATATATTACAATTATTTAATTACTATTTATACATTTTATTGTTTTTATTACATTCTATTTTTATTGCATATTGATATGGAAACAAAAGATCGTATGATAGAATCCACCTTATTTGGTAGCTTTTTCAGAATCTACTACTTACTCCGTATTAATATGGATATTTATTAAAATATATATAAAAGAGGAATTTTAAGAGCATCTGGCGTGCCACATAATCCTGTCATGTCATCATATATAACAATTATTTAATTACTATTTATACCTTTTTTTATTACATTCTATTTTTAATTACATATTGATATGAAAACAAAAAACCGTCGCGTATGATAAAATCCACCTTATTTGGTAACTTTTTCAGAATCTACTACTGACTCCGTAGTAATATGGATTGTTATTAAAATAAGTAATTATTGCAACCACAACAATAAGTAGTCATCCGTGCACATAGACTTTATTTAATTTAATTATTTTTATACTTTGATGTTTATTACATTCTATCTATTGAGAAGTGAATTATCTGTGTTTTGCGCACCTAACAAATAAATCATCCAAGTTCCTATCAATTTTGTTCTTCAAAGTTATTTTATAAATAAAGTAATAATAGTGTTCCATTTCCTAAAAAGTACGGAGTAATATTTTATTTTTCTAAACTCAATTTCTTGAATGTTTTCTAAACTCAATGCGATAATGACTAAAGTTATTAGACTTATATTTGCAATTGTGTTTATACTTTGTATTTTTCTGCATCATCATACCATTCTTTCTTAATTGTTGAGATAATGATGAAAATTATAACCTCAAGATTTTTTAACTTAAAAATGAAATTGATATATACTATTAGACATTCATATATGAAAACATTTAAAACTTCTGATCAAGTATCTTACCTTTATGAGGATGGAAATGAAAATTCATATCATACATATATGAATACGTTTAGCCCAGCAAAAAAAGTAAACATGTTTAGTTGTCTCTTTATTCTTACAACCACAATTTAGATTTTCCTTCACTTTTGACATGGATTTCTAATCTAAATTAGGAAATCTTCATACATTTAGCGTGTTTTTAATTGGACTGGTTTCAGTCTTAGACAAGATCGGATCAAATATCAATTATTATTATTATTATTATTATTATTATTATTATTATTATTATTATTATTATTATTATTATTATTATTATTATTATTATTATTATTATTATTATTATTATTATTATTATTATTATTATTATTATTATTATTATTATTATTATTATTATTATTATTATTATTATTGTTATACATAAAATAGACATCTTCCAGACCAAGTTAGAAATGAACATGTCAATCTAATTAAAAATATCCTTATTAATGACATTTTCAATGTGACGAAATAAATGAGTAAATTGTAAAAATAATCCCTTTTTTACATTTCAATGTGACAAAATAATGAGTACAATGTAAGAGCTCACTAATAAATTTACAAATACTTATTTCATACCACATGTTGAATGAGAATTATTTAAAAATAGTTTTTTAGATGCTTAATGAAGTAATATAGAGGATGTGAAATTAATTAAGAAACTTTTGTATGAATTCTTTAAAATTGGGTTCATAACCATTATGTTTAGTTGAGATGCTTATGTAGAAGTCCAATTTAAATATTTTTCATACAAATTTGAATTACTTTTATTAATTATATATTATTTCAAAAATATCAAATATACTACAGTTAGCTAAATTATGTACTACCGTGCATCGCACGGGCTTGAAAGCTAGTTTAATAATCAGTTACTTAAACAATCCCAACTGTATTTACTCCGAAGTTTATAACAAAAATAGTTTTAATTTTTTTTTAAAAGGTGTTGAATTTTAAACAACCCCAAATCTTGAGTCAATGTTCAATCAACAACCCTTCTTCTTGTATCCACTATTGTACCCACTTTTGTATCCATCATGTCTTCATAGACATATTTTTGTCTATGAGCAGGATTCACAGACAAAAAAAGAACTCCTCACAGACAAAGTGGGTACAAAAGTGGGTACAATAGTGGGTACAAATAGTTTTTTTAAACAATCATATAGGGCTTATGTGATTACTTAGCAGTAGCGTAGCAGGGCCCGCACTATATTGGGCTAGGCCCAGTCCAAAAACTTTTTTGAATATTGTTAACATGAATTTTTTTACCCTAATAATTAAAATATCTAACAATTAGTTCGTATATCGTGGAAGCAACCCACCATGAGCATGCTGCTCCCACAGGAAAAAAATACGTGTTACTGTTCACGCGGGTGAAAAATAACTTTTTTTACAGTTTCTAGTAGCAGAATGGTGTAACTCACGTGTAAGAATTTGAAACTCATGTTGATAAGAAGTATTGTATAAAGTAACAACAGGCAAATGGAAATGTAACTTGTCTAATACGGATTATAAGAAATAAAACATTGTTTTCAATGAAAACAAGGAGTCTAACTGCTCAATTATTTTACATAAATAGTGAATAGTTTTTTTATATGAATGCCATAAATAATTTTTTTTCTCAAAATCATTTTTTTTGCCAAATATAAGTCAATTTTTTGCCAAAAAATATATTTTTTTTGCAAAGAAATGACTTTTTGTTTCAATAGTAGAGGCTTTCTTAAATGGTGAATATGTTCTATTTTTAATATTAAGACCATAAAAATGTTTTTGAAGAAATCACTTGGTTTGCCAAATAAATCATTATTTGCCACATAAAAAATTGAAAAAAAAAATGATTCTTTTGTTTCAATAGCAGGGCTATATGTTGTGATGTAACTCATGTTATACAAAATGTAACTCGCGTTGATGGAAAATCGAACTTAGATGTATGCAAAATGTAACTTGGTAAAGCTTTCTTGTTAATATGTTTTTTTAGTATTAAGGCCATAAAAATGTTTCAAAAAACAATAATTTTTTTGCCAAAAAAATCATTTTTTTTTTCAAACAAAATCATTGTGGTTTGCAAAAAAATGATATATTTTTTCAATAGCTAGAGTTTATTTTTTGATGTAACCCGTGGAAAAAATGTAACTCGTGTTATTTTGTGATGAAGTGTTCCGTAGCTCTATGCAGAATGTAATTTGTTAAGGCAAATCCAAATGTAACTTACGCATAGGAAGATGTAAATCATGCACACAAAAATGTAACTCGCCATAAGAAGATGTAACTCCATATATCATCAAATGTAATTCCAAAAATTGTCTATTAACATAACTCATGATACCACTAATTGTCGAAAAACTATCGATCGTTTGAGTCAAGTGAAGAATTAAGAAAATTTTTATGATCTTCCACAAAGAGAGATTTTTTCTTAAATGTGGGTGTGGACATAGTTATAAAACCCGCTCGGCATTACCAAGCGGTTGAGGTGTGCCTAGCGCCATGACACCGACTAGGCAACGACTATGTTGATTTTTTGGTCAACTAGGCTAATTAGCCCACTATAGTTAGGGGCATCTAGTGCATGCCTGGCGTCAATTAACCAGATCAATTACACCGATTCTTAGACCAATGGACGTAGATTGTTTCCACTTCTTGAGCAAAATATTCTTCATATGCATTACATGAGAAGCAATGCCTTTTAAACAAGAAGCTAATACATATTTTAATTCTCAAAATTTTATATGTTCTTCTGTCCAATTACATACCTTCAGAACCTTCATTACATGTGAAAGAAAACATACTACGGGTGAAAGATGCCTAGAATCTATAAGCAATTTTTCATAGCCAAACCCGCAATGGCGTATTTAGGGAATTAGGGTACGTGGGGAAGCTTATATAGCCTAAAATTTTATGAGAAATTGCTAAAAATAGTAGTAAAACATACGAAAAATTTTAAATTAAGACTAATTGTGTTTTAATTTTGATAAGTCTGTATTTAGACACGCATTTGATGCGTGTTGGGATCGGCTTTTGATGGTTTTCCTAGCTTTAAGGTGTTACAAGTCTCAATTTTAGCTCAAGTTATGTTTACCGGGCGTTGGTTCGAGTTTTGTGTTGTTTGGAGTCAAAATCAGGAATTTAGAGTCCGGCACCGATGCTTGATAAGCAATCGGGAAGAGTTGGAGAACATTCGAGAGAGATTTGAGAGTTTTGGAGGCCACCGGGAGGTTCACGGCGAAGATTTGATGAAGAAACGGCCTTTGGATTGATTAAAGAAGTATCCGGGAACAAACCGTGAAGAAAATGGCAAGAAAACGGTCCAAGAGCATTCCGCGTGCCCCGCGGTGCGGTTCCACACACCCGCGGGCGATTCTGAGAGCAAAAAGTTGAGGGGTCTGAACCGCACACCGCACGGCCGAAACCGCACACCGCGCGGTCGAGAAATAGCCCCCAGAAGTACCCACGCGGTTGCATAGTGCGGCGCCCACACACCGCGCGGGCGGAGCGAAAATCGGAAGACGGAAAAACGCGTGCGTGACTGCGTGGTGACCCGCACGACGTGCGGACGACCGCGCAGCTTGATTTTCTGTCAGATTTTGAGTTTTTCTTTAAATAGGCCCCTGTTTTGCCTGTTTTTGACGGAGGAGCTTAGAGAGTTAAACCCTATTTTGACTTTTGAGAGTTTTTCAAGCCTTGTTCTTCAAGATTAAGAGATTCTTTGTAAGATCTATCTTTTTAATTAATGACAATTAATTCTATTCATCCCAGTTCCGTTGATTATTCAATTATGAATTGCGAGCAGTTTTAATTAGGGATTTGGGATTGATGAAGGGGTTAAGCATGATTTATGGCTAGATTCTTGTCGGTTTAATTGCATGAATGCCGTTTAATTTGTGTTTGAATAATTTAATTGATATCTTTTGTAACCTGGAACCGCGGCTAGAATTACAATTGCTTGTAGAATAAGTTAAGAGAGATCTAATTTATTCTAGGACACATTCACACACACTTAATCGTTCGCTAAGAGATTAGTAGCAATTAAGGTGCCGTAAGCTCGCTCGTCTTGGCAATAATTTAGGATCATGTCGCATGAGATATCAACCTGGTCCCCTAAATTATTGTACTCTACGCCGCGAGGGTGGTAAGAACTTAGTAATGATTAGCTAGGCTCAATTAAATTAAATTCATGAAATTAGGCCTGATCTGCAAGAAATCTGATTACCCCGGAATCAATCTCTGTTCCCTTCGTCGTTAATTGAGAAGAAACCAATCTTTTAGTTTATCGTTCATTCGCATTAGTTTAATTTTAATTCACCAATCAATCTCGCACACTTGCATTTATTTATTTTATTTCTTTTTAATCGTTGAATTTAGTTAATCTTTAATTCCCTTTTGTCCGTCCCTGTGAAGACGATACTCGTACTTTCAACCACTATTCTACAATCTTTTTAAGTGCGAGAAAACACACATCAAATTTCTTTCTCAAATATAGAATTTATGTAATCCTTTTTAAAGAATAAATAGATACAAAATTGCCTAAATAGGAATGAATATCATGAGCCATTGAGCCCTATTTTGAGAAGAAAAACAATTGTACTACTTTTCAGAAAGTTTATTCTATTTGACTCCTATTAAGAATGTAACTTTTAAAAGTTTATATAATGTTTACATGTTACAAGTAATATCATTGATCTTCTTTTTATATATACATGTATATATACTCGCCCCGACCCCCTCCTGCCCATGCACTCTCACCAATTTTTCCGGATACGCCACTGCAAACCGGACCAAGTGGCCAATTACAACCATAGACGATGTAATAGGGAGAATGAGTTATGCCAAACAAATATACTCTTAAGAAAGAGTCTTTTAAAACTTCTATGAGGCAACACATCACACTACTTTAACAACGAATTAATGTGATTACACTAATCACATAACTTATATGTAAGATTTTTTATAATTTTATTTATACTTATAGCATTTTCCATATAATATAGTGCCTCCGTTATGAACTTTGATTAATTATTTGAACTAATATCTAATATATTTATGTGAAAATTAATAATTTTATACGTCTATGACAGTCTTTTTTAAAAACAACCTTTTCACATCGTTTTTGTGTTATAAACACTTTTGTATATATATAAATATACCATCGGTCAAAATTAAAATTAATCAATCTTTGATAATATGAATCATCTTCATCAACTAGGAATTAACAAAGCAACTGACCTTATAACAGACAGCTGTGTAAAATAAAAAAGAAAGTTAAGATTTAATAGGTTGCTCGCCCCGGATGCGGCGGGCAAGCTGGACGTCCTTGGGCATGATGGTGACGCGCTTAGCATGAATGGCGCAGAGGTTGGTGTCTTCGAACAGCCCAACCAAGTAAGCTTCGGCCGCCTCCTGGAGAGCCAGAACCGCGTGGCTCTGGAATCTTAGGTCCGTTTTGAAGTCCTGCGCTATTTCCCGCACCAGCCTCTGGAACGGCAGCTTCCTCACCAGCAGCTCCGTACTCTTTTGATACTTTCGTATTTCCCGAAGAGCAACCGTTCCTGGACGGTAACGGTGCGGCTTCTTCACCCCGCCGGTTGTAGGGACTTGCTTGCGGGCAGCCTGCAACCATATTCATATCAAACAAACAATACTTTGTATCAAAACATTATTAATACTTACCTTCGTCCTACAAACATTGGAACATTAGAAGGTAACGCGATTATTAAGAAAAATAGGTTTATGTGTTTCGTTTTGAAGTGATAAAGTAAGAATAAAGTTAGAATGATTTATAGGCACACAAACTTCATCAAATTTGTACGAGACAATTGTAATGGGACGGATCGAAAAGGAAAGGCTGGAAAGATATGACAATATTAGCGGAATAGAAGGAGTATATTACTCCGTATGATGATGAATGTCCATGTGAGTCAATTATGCAACCCGGCCTTAACATGCATGGTATTAGGGTTAAAAAATAGCCTTCTATACGAATAAAACACAGCCTTAATGTCTGTAAGGAGGCTATATCAGATAAAAATAATCTGTTCAAAGACATATGTACCGATTGCGTTTTACTTACAATACTTAGATATAAGAATGTCATGATGATTTTATGATTCTCTAGGAATCAGAATAAGTTAATCATAGATACCTTAATGACACTGAGACTCTTCCTCGGAGCTTTTCCGCCGGTGGACTTGCGGGCAGTTTGCTTTGTACGAGCCATTCTTCCGATTACAAAACCGCACCAAACTCAACTACGTACAAGAAGAAGCTAGAGTTATACGTAGTATGAATGTATGATACTAATTAAAATATATATTCAGGCATAATAGATACTTATATGACTTATACCTAAAAAAAGGAAACTTTCTATAATCTAGAGGATAAAGGATAAGGGGAATTGTACGTACCTTTAGAAGGTTTTGATAGAATGATGAGGAATGGGAATTTAGGAGGATCGAATGGGGTATATATAGGAATGGATGGATGGGCCGTGTGGGGTTCAAATGTGGTCCAAAGTTTAGTATTTAATTAATTTGAGATGATATTATTTTTCTAAAAATAAATAGAGAGAAAATTAAGGGATCGGGCGAATTAGAATTTAGTATAAAATAGTTTAGGGCATTATGATGTGCTAGTCATAATTTTCATAGAAAACCATGATCCGTGTGCTCTAATGTAATTGGATGGATTTAGTTGATTATGTGCTACGTGCCAACGTGTCTTACTATCATTTGTCACAAATGTAACCACGGATCCATGATCAATGATGATCAATATATGATGACTTACATATGAGTTGCACTATTTCGTAATTTATTCATTTATTATTTGTCAGTTTGTTTATTTGTAACCAACAATTTAATAATCAGTTACTTAAACAATCCCAACTGCATGTATAAGAGCATCACCATTCCTAATCCCGTAAAAATCATATTTTCTGGCATTCTTGCCTTTTAAATATTCTTACATAATTAATTTTTAAATAATTTCAAAATCCATTTATGCCTCCCAACCATCATCTTCAAATAATCCGCTTTTTTCTCCGTCCGACATTAACGTATTACACATACTTTTCAAATAATCTTAAGATAATCCGGATTCATATTTTGATCCCGGATTATTCTAGCAAATAATCTCATTAAATAATCAATGTCTCCCAATGATACTTCTCTAAAAAATCTGCCACGTCACTAATTTGATCCCTCAATAATCCTAACAATGAGGATGCCCTAACATCAATGTTCAATCAAATAATATTGTACTCCGTATGTCGAGAACCTATATCATACAACCGGGTGTACGTATATCCGGCCCAACTAAGGAAGATAGCCCAACAATCAATACATGCCAATTTTTTTCGGTGGCAATTTTGTAATTTGAGCGAAAAAACGCGGCTTCCGGTAAATGAGCAATAGTGTAATTTTACTGATCATCTGACCTATTTTATTGAGTATTAGGAGGCTAACAATGAGTTTCACGGTATTTGCTTCATATATTCTAATTCTCTTTCTTTTTCTTATTTTTTCTATTTAAAAACTTATTAAATTATATCTATAATCCACTCTTATTAGTTTCAATATGCGAGTCTAATATAATACTTCGTATGATACTTTTGAAATATGCATTGATATGACATTGTAAAATGAACTTTACATTAGTACCAAATGAGCATACATAATTACAAAGTGTACATTGATATGAAAATCATAAGGTTTTGTTAGTTGAACATCACGCCACTTTAATTGAGCATCAAATATCCGCTATTGAGATGAAAACCACAATTTCTTGTGAATGAGCGTTAATGAACTTTTAATGAGCATCCGGTCTATTACGTTGAGTATTAGGAGTTTAATATATGAGCATAAGATCAGTATCAGATGAACATACATAACTAACAAAATGAGCACTAATGAATTTGTCAGTTGGTTTTTTAGTTGAAATCACGATATTTTCATTGAGCATTGTTGGGGTATATTACCCCGGACTACTACTATTCAAAGGCCAAGGCGTCACCCCGGTATAAAGCCCAGACAACGAGGCCCATTTAGGCCCCTCAGGCCAATTTAGGGCCAGTTAGGCCTACTCGGCCTACTTCAGCTTGTTTTGGCCCATTAAGACCTTTTTCGGCCCATTAGCATGAAAGGGTTTCCCTCCCCTTCTATAAATAGGCAAGCTAGGCTTCCTATTTGGGGATCTTTTTTCTGCTCCAAGGAGCTCTTCTCCCTCCCCCTTACTATTTCTTCTTCATCTTTTGTAGAGAGCTCATAAACTCCATTAATGGAGGTTCTATACTTGTACTATGTAAGATGGTGAGGAGAGCATATTAGTGAGAAAGAGCGGGCTTGGACGTTAGTCTAAAAAGTCCCGTGGTTTTCTCCCTTTCCGGGTGTCCACGTAAAAATAGCTAGTTCATACACTTTTATATATTGATTTACTTTTAGGAAAAATTGAAAATAATAATCCCAACTATTGCCGGTCCGCCGATAATAATCTCAACTATTGATTATTTTTGTATAATCCCAACTATATGGACCGTCCACCAATAATGGTCCATGACCAAATATTACCTCCTATAAAAAGTGAATTTTAAATAGAAATTAAGCGTAAAAATTAAAAGTTGGGATTATTTATAGGGATTACTTGTTATATCTCTTCTCATCCACTTGAGAAACTACAACAATTTATTTATAGGGACCATTATTGGCGGAAGGTTCCTAAAGTTGGGATTATTCTGAAATAATCGATATTTGGGATTATTATAGGCGGACCACCAATAGTTGGGATTATTACTATCAATTTTTCCTTACTTTTATACCGAATCCATCGTCCTTAATAGCTGAAGTTTATGTTGGGCTTTCGGATCTACGGGACTAAACCTCAACAAGCATCAAACCTCCTCTATTGAGATGGAAATAATGGTTTCTGTTAAATGAACATTAATACACTTTTAATGAACATGATACTTATTCTGTTGAGCCTTAGTTTCATAAGCATTGATATGAAATTTTAAAATGAGCATAACAGCAGTCCCGAATGAGTATTCATATATTATAAAATGAGCATTTTTTCATATATTATAAAATGAGCATTGAAAAATTCAAAAGCTCATTAAAATCTCTGATGCGCTCAAATATTCATTTGCGTAACAAAGAGAAATATAATAAATTATAGTACAGAAATAATTTATAATTTGTTATTCTTCAATTTACAAAACTAATCATAAATTGGTATTGACGAAATGAGCAACGAAAAGATTCAAAAAACTCATTTGAAAGTTACTGTATGCTCGAATTTTCATTTGTGTACCTCATTTGAATTCTCTAGTGTGCTCAAATTTTTGTTTGTGTATGCTCATTTGATTTTTCTAACGTGCTCAAATATTCATTTATCTATGTTCAATTCTTTTAATTGTTATACACATTTATTATACTCAGTTACTCACTATACTCATTTTCAATATATAACATAAAACTTATATTAGTAATTGGTAAGCTCAAATTTTTAACACACAATACTAAAATATAATATTAAAAAACACATATTAAATTTTAACATATACGGTACTATTAATATCTTGGAATTGAGAACTAAAATAGTCCGTTCAATACTTTGCGTTGGGATAGAAGGCCACAACCACACAACGCTGAATCCACAACCTAATTCTCCTTCGTCCGAACACCCAGCGAGCAACAGTGGAAGAAAATCCCATAACTTCAGCGAGCGAGCAGATCGACGCCTCCTTCATCAGGCCTCACCGATCAAGCAGCATGGGAAGAACAGAACTAAATACTCCCTCCGTCCCATAATTATCTTCATTCTTTCCTTTTTGGTCCGTCCCAAATTTATCTCCTCTTTCCCTTTTTAGCAAAGGATTTGTGGTTCACAACCATTCTTACACATTTCTCTCTCCTCTGCACAACTCTCCACCACACATTTCCCACTTTCTTAATCTCCGTGCCCAGTCAAAACCGAAGTTAATTCTGGGACGGAGGGAGTAACATTTACCATGGGAGTTGTAATTAATTTACCTCGTATATCCTAAATACTCTAATAAAAAAATAATGAGTCAATTTTAGACATCAAATCCGTCTATTCAAAATAATCAAAAATTTGTTGTATCGTGATTACACAGCACTAGCGTGGCAGGATACTGTATTGGGCTAGGCCCAGTCCAAAAACATTTTTGAATATTGTTAACGTGAATTTCTTCACCCTAATAATCAAAATAAAATTGGCCGTTGGATTGGGGCGGGACCTAGGGTGCCTCCTAGTAACAGCGTAAAAATCTATGATTTCAGAACCGGACCGGATCGACCGAGCGGGTCGACCCTGGAACCGGCGACCCGACACCTAAACCAGTCCGGCTGCATGTAAACCCGCAAATATGCCTTAAACCGGAATAACCCGTAGACCCGGATTGGCCCGGCCCGGACCCGCAACGGACGAAACCCGGGAAACCCCGGAATTTACGTAAGAACCGGCCCAAATTAAGAATAGGGAAAGAACATCTTCGGCTTTGCTAACCTGCCAAGTTGATACAATCTACTCTCTTTATGATATTATATTATGGGTTAAATGGCTATATAGCCTAAATAAATAAGGGAAGACAAATTAATAACCTATATTATGTTTTTTTAAGTAGATAACACTTTTGTAGTGCATTTGAGGCTATGCGTAATTATAGCTAGCAACTTAGCCTACGGTAATTGTTAGCTTTTTATCCTTTTAAATTGTTAGTTATGCTATTTGTTTTATTTATTCAAATATATGACATAAATTTAACTTCACTTATTTAAAGTTGTACATACACCCAAATATTCCTTATATTATTTCTTTACTGCACTACCCATTTTCAAGTATAATTAAACAAACAGTTACATGGTGTTTTTAATATCTCATAATAAGTATAGTTATGTTCATGTTTATTTTCTCAATATGTATACTATATATGTATATATTTATACTAATAGATACATAATTAATTCAAAGTCAATTTATACATGTATATAAAAATATCAAATAACATTATTGATATAAATAGGGCTAAAACTATACTTTAGATTATTATGGGTATGTTTTCAATACTAACTTGCATTATAATTATTTTATTATTGTGGATAATAATTACCCTTCTTTTTAACTTTATATTTTTTTTATATGTTTATTATTATTATTATTATTAGTAGTAGTAGTAGTTCTATTGTTAATTTGTTTAAGTTATGCAAAGTTTTGTAATGTTTCATTGTCCAAAACTTAGGATACTTATTATACAAAAATTTCTAGTTTTGTAATGTTTAATTATCAGACACAATAGTTAAATAGTTTTTAAATCGTGTGAATTGAATCGAAAATATAAATGTTTGTTGATGACGCTTGACACTAAATTACACAATCGATTTACTTCTTACTTTCTAAAACTAATTTATTGC